ATAATCACAGTAAAAGTAAAGAAAGAAGCCGCGAATAAACGGCTCTTTTAACCTAGTAAAAAAATATGACTGACTTCCCAAAATCTCTCCTGATGTGAGCCAATCAAGACCCTCAACATCCTAACAGTTTTATTATCAAGACCGATAATCAGAAATTATTAGGATTAGTTCGCACGGATAAGAATGGCACTACTTACTGGAAATTCAAAGAAAGAAATAAGAAGAAGAAAGTCATTAAAGAAAATGACCCTCAATCTAGCCCCGTAGCGGATAACATACAGAAATTTCAGCAGAGGCAAAGTAAAAGCCAAGAAAGACAAAACCTTGCCGAAAACCAATTAAACCCTCATGGAAATAACTCTAACGCAAGTGAGAAATAACCAAGTAGTTTCTACTACTGATTTAACTAAGGTAGTCCGTGATTTAAATGGTAGTTTATCCGCCCTCAAACCGGACAATTCAGAAACTACTAAATTAATCACTTACGCCCTGGTTGCTACGGCAATTGTCGGAATCTTTGTTTATCACTATATTAAAAATCAAGAGAATTTATAAGACTATGGCCTGAAAAGACTATTTACCCGATTTTAAGGGGGCTTTGAACTCCTTTTACGACGAGAAATTAAAAGACACCATTGAAAATAAAAGTAGTGAATACAAAGACTTAGCCAGTGAATTTATTGCTAAAAGTTTAAATTACCAAAAAGCTATGTTGGCGATTGGCCTAGGAATTTTCCTATTATTGACCATTGCTTACTTCTGAAAAGATGAAACCAAACCTTAACTTAACAATTTAACATAAATATGAAACCAAACTACAAATACATTGCCTTAGGTATCTTAGTCGGATATCTTTTGCCTTACATAATTGAATTAACCCAAAATAAAAAAAGTCAAACTGAGGAAGTTTTCCTTAGTTCTAATGAATAAACTATGTCTAAAACTAGCTCCTTTATCTGATTCTCGATTTGTCTGGTAGTCGGTTTTTACATTCGCCACTGAATAAATACCGGCGAAGGACAATTTCGCAGATTTAAAGAATACTTTTAAAATATAAAAGTTAGAATTTGTAATTATAACTTCAAATAAACCAAGATATGAAACCAACTACCTTTTTAATTTGCTCAGCCTTCGCCATTTTTTGTGGTGTTTTGGCTCAGCAAGCCATTGAAACCCTAGTAAATACTTCCCTGACATTATTACCCTTTAATATTAGAACTGTTTCTTAGTTTTTGCCTAGTATAAGACCACTATTTAAAAATTATGCTCAATACTAATCTTAATAACTCGCCCTTATTCCAATATCCCCAACAAAATTATACCTGTGATAAATGTGGTCAGGAATTCCAGCAAACTATCACCTACTCTCCGGCTGGTAACTTAGAAAAATTAGCCCAGCATCCTACTTATTGTCCAGACTGCACCAAAGCAACTTTATTAGTCCCAGTGGCTAATTCCAATGGTAGGAAAAAAGCCAAATCTCAGCCTAAAAAAAACACAGTCGCTTATTACCAATGTTTAAGTGCTTGCTGTCAAAAGGGAATTAGCCCCAAGACCATTACGCAGGTAGCCCAAGAGTGTAAGCATAATAGCCTAACCATTTTAGCCGAACGCACCCAAGAAATTCAAAAGTTAAATGAGGCTTATCGGCAAATTGGGGTGAGTTTAACGAGTTTATTACAACCGATTAAGGAAGAATAAGAAATTATGATTACCTGTTGTGAAATTGCCATTACTTTGGCTCTGACTAATATTCTCTCGTTGGCTATTTTTGCGGGATATACCATCAAAGTTAAAGATAAACAGTTAGAATTAGAGAAAAAGAATGGGAAGGAGCAAAAGCAGATTGATGAGTTAAAAGAAGAAATTAAAAAATTAAAGACAACTAAGGCTAATGACTAACAAAGACCAACTCCAACAAGAACTGAAAGAAAAAGTGAAGGAGGGAATTAAGCCTTCTCACTTAAAAAGAAGTCGTTCCTTAGGTGATATTCCCACTCCTCCCCCAGCTCCTCCTTTACCAACTAATCAAGAATTAATTACTTGTCAAGCTGAAAATAAGGAGTTGAAAAAGAAGATTACTAAGTTAGCCGACCAGATTTTAGCATTAAGACTAAGTAAGATTAAAGAGTTTGGCACTTATCGAGAAAATTTAAAAGAGGTTGAACAGGATTTAACTCAGCAAATTCAAACTGACCGCCAGGAAATTACTAAATTAGAACAAAGAGTTCAGCAACTAGTTAAAGAAAAAACTCGGCTTAGTGGTGAAAAATCGCTAGCTGAATGAAAGGTGAGTAAGTTAGAGTTAGGAGAAAGGACTAGTTCTAGTTTTTGAACTGATTATGGTCCGATTATCTCCCTGTTTTTAGTTTATCTCCTAGCCCTCTGATTATTAAGTAAAAATACGAAAAAATATCCAGAATTTTAAAACTTTATGACTGACTTCGGAATTAAATCAGCCGTCAAGGACTGAATGACTAATAAATATGAAAACTGAATTAAGCAACCCATCAGCCGCAAAACGGAAGAGTTGGAAAACTTAGTCTCGCAACAGGTTAACACCTATGGCAACAAAGCCAAAGCAACTGCTGCTAAACCAGTCAATTATTATCAAAGTAGACCTACCTTCCATAGAGGATTATTTTGAATTGCTGTCGGCTGCTTAATTGTCTTGTGAATTATCAGTGGAAGTTAAAATATTATGTCCAAAGAAATTATAATAATTTGCCTAGTAATAATTCTGATTTACCTGGCTTATCAGCAAACTCAGCAAAAAACTCTGACTATTCAGCCTGATAATCAGCGATTACAAGAACTAACCAACCAAGTCCAGCATTACCAAACTCTTTACCAAAAACGGGTAGAAAAAGATATTGGAAGTGATTCTGAGCAAGTTAAGGAACTGCAATTAAACTGTCAGCGATTAGCCAATAAAATAACCGACTTAGAAAGCCAAGAAAAAGACTGAACCATCAGATATCAAGATTTAGAAAGGTTAAATAACCAAACTAGTCAAGAAAAAAATAAACTCACTGAATATCAGCCCCTATTAGAACAGAAAATAGATGATTTAGGTCAACAGTTAATCTTTACTGCTCGCCAAAAGATTAAAAACAATAAGCAAGCCCAAGAGTTATTAGCCAAATTAGAAAGCAGTTGACAAACTGATAAAGATAGTTGAACCCAAACCAAAGCCCAATTAGAGGACGATAATAAGTTTTTAGCCGCCAATATTAAAACTTTTCAAACTAGGGTTAAAGAAGATGCCGAAACTATTGAAAACAAAGAGAAAAAATTAGAGAAAATTCAAAACGAAATAAAAGATTATCAACAATTATTCACGACTAAACCATTAGCCGAAAAGGCAATGGAATTAGATGAGTTTTATGAATGATTGGAAGCTGATGAAAGTCGAACAGAAGGAAAAAAATGAGATTTTGAAGATTTCCAAAGCCAAGGTAGAGAAGAATTTGAACAAGACCAAGCAAAAAGACTAATATTTTCGAAATCACTTTTAAATTATCTTAATTGCTTTTTCTGTATTGAAGACAAAGAAGATTGGACTGAAAATTTAATAAAAAGATGTGAACTGTATAATGAATGACAACAAGAGAGAGAGAGAGAGAGAGAGAGCAAAAGTAAAAAATGATGAAACCGGATGAAAAACCCCTAACAAAGAATAATAAACCAGCCCCTATTTTCACTAAATATCGCAAAAAGAAAAAATATTAAAAAACGGAGTTTCTTATTCTTGCTACTCCTTAAAGAAGTTAAAGAAGTAAAAAAATAAGTTATAAAATGTTAAAAAAAGCAGTCGATTATGGCTATCATCTCCTAAAAAAGCCAATAACGGTTAACGGAATTTCTATTACAGAAATATACATTGACCCTTATTGGAAAAAGCATGAAGACGAAGGAATTAGTGAAAAATTAATTATCGAACTAGTAAAGTTATTAGATAAAAAAAGGTCGGAATTAGGTAAAAGATACGATGATTGAGTATATTTCACGGAAGAACCGTTATTTTTTAATGACAAAGCCTATTGCCTAGTCTGATGCTTGGAAGATAAGAAAAATTATTTAGAAGTAATTGACTGCTATCGCGAAAGTAATTATGAAAAACCCCACAAAAGAATTAAATATGAAAAGTAAAAGAAATAGCCCACCCAAAAGAGTAGTAGACAGCATTAGAAAAGAAATGACCAACCCTAATTTTCCTTATAAGAACATTAATTTAATGCCTGATGCCACTCCCTTGGAAAAAAATAAGTATGAAATTTGCCAAAAGATACTGGCTTATAAGCAAGATAATAAATTAACTACGGACAAAGTAGCCAAAAGTATTCAATTAACTGCTCCGGAAACCGAAGACATATTTTTTGGCCGAATTAACAAGTTTACTTTGGATAGATTAATGGATTATGCTACTAACTTAGGGATTATTTTACAAATAAAGGAAGAAAAACCAACTTCTTCTCATTCCTTAAATAAAACTTCTCAAAGAGTTTATGTTTCTCGCAAATCTAATGGTCGTTTAAAAAAACACCTTTAAATCTGCCTTGTTTTTAGCCTTGTAAAGAAAACTAAAAAATTATGTCAATCATCTGAATTTTAATAATAATCGCCCTCGTTTACTGATTTTATCAGAAGAAATTAGCCAATAATTAAATCTTTATCTCACTGAATTCCTTAACTCTTTTTTCCGCTTTTCCAATCGCTCTATCTCTTGTTTAAGGTTGTTAACTTTACCACTTTCGGAAATAATACCTCACAGTCCCAGCAAAGCAAAAAGAATAAAAAGAGCAACCATAGCTCATCAAGCCTTATTCCCATTAGCAGCAATAAATCCGAAAACCAAACAAAACCCTATACTACCCAGAAAAATTTCTCAACTAAGGATTAGTTTCTTTTGCTCATCTTCATTGTTTTTTTTTTTTTTTTGCACTTCTTGCTCAACTTTCACTATTTCTAACTCCAATTTTAGATTTTTATTTTCCTGATTTTCTAACATATATTAATTTTTTCTACATATAGACATCTACATCCAACTAATATGACAAATAACAACAATGAAGAAAACATCCACTGAGAAGAATCAACTACTCATCGGGATAAATTCCAAAAAACCAACAAAGCCGGAGCCATCAAAGCCGGAGTTAAAGCAATTAATATAGCAATCGAAGGATGAAACAACACGATAGCTAATATTCCTGGTGTTTCTAAAAAAGAAAAAATGGATCCGGAAAAAACGGTCGCTGAATTAGCCGAAACCGGTGGTTCTTCTTTTGTCCTGGGTGCTCTTGATGATGGACTTAAATTTATTCGACGAATGATTATTCCTAAAATCCAAGCTGGGGGGTTTTTCACGGGAACAGCAGCGGCTATATTAAGCACTGCCGTTGGTTCAATTGAATTTGCCGTCGACCATCTAAAAGACTTAATGACTAGCACGGCCATAAGTGGATTAGCAGCCGAAGTCGGAGACCTCAAAGATGGTCAATCTAAACTCAATGCCAAAGTTGATGCTCAGGGTAAACGGATGAATAAAAGAATGAACGACTTAAAATCCGAATTGGAAGGAGAACTTAAACAACAAGGAGAAAAATTTGATAAAGAATTAAAAGACCTCGACAAAAAGATAGCCCAAAACACCGGAGCCATTAAAAAAGAAGCCGAGGAAAGAAAAAAAGAAATTGCTAAGGTTCGGCAAGAACTCGAAAGTCAAATTAACCAAGTCACGGAAAACATTAACCGAGTAGAAAGCCAACTCACCGAAGCCCTTAACGACTTCAAAGAAGAAGTCAATGAACGCTTCGAAGAACAAGAACAAAAAATCCTCGCCAACAAGCGCAAAATCGAAGAAGAAAAACGCCAACGGGAAGCCGAAATCAAAGAAGTCAAAGACAAAATCAGCCAAGCCAACACTAAAATCAACAATCTCCAAGCCGAAAAAGACGAATTAGCCGAAGACTTCACCAAATACCAACACCAAACTAGTCGTAAAATGGAAGAAGTCCAGCAAGATTTCGAAGATTACCAAGCGGAAACGGACAGTAAATTCCGCACCCAGCAAGCCAAACATCAAAATGATTTAGAAGAAGCCAAGGAAGAATTTGAAACCCAAACTAAAAACTTAGAGGCTCAAATTAAAGATAATCGGGAAGTCTTGGAAGAATACGAAGAAGACTTAGCCAGTGTTAAATACGAACAAAAAAAACAAAACATTTTTAACCAAGAGATTATTGAAGAACTGCAAGAAACTAATGATATTTTATTCGCTCAACAACGCAAATTAAATTTAGTCTCCCAACAAATGGACGATATTCAAGAAGAAGTTCATGAGCGAATGGACAAAATGTCCCAAAAATTAGATGACCGAATCAAGGAAACTTTAAATATTGCTCAGGATACTAATAAAAAGGTTGATAATTTAACCGAAGAAGTTCAAAACATTAAGCAAACTACCGAACAACTCCACGAGCAAATCAAAGAAAACAAAAAACTCACCGAGGAAGCCAAAAAAGAAGCCCAGTGAGCCAATGAACGACTAGATAATTACATTAAGGCTCAAAAACTATTAGACTTCTCGGCCGAAGACAGCAAAATAGATAAAATAAAAAAATCCTTAGAGTTAAAAGCCGAAGAAGCTAAATTATTAGCCACGCTCAATCTCTTACAAGAAACCAAAAAACTAATCCACCTCGAACCAGCCGAGCGAGAATGAAAAGTTGGAGTGCAAACCGGCACTGCTCCCCAAGACTTCCCCAAACCCGAGGGTATCGCCTTAGTGCCAGATAATTACTGAGCCAGAAAATATACTGGTGACCAAGAAAAAAAACCTAATCCCCACCAACTTTTTACTCCCGAATGGTTCAATTGAGAAGAAAAAAACCAACTAAAACCCGAACAAACTAAGTTTGAACCGTGAGGAACTCGTATCAAATCTGATAATGAAACGGCTCCACTCACTGACCCGGAAAAAAGAAAACCCCAGCAAGTAGAAAAGACTAAACAAGAAGAAAGTAAGGCAGCAGGAGAAGAATCCAGCCAAGCCGAATTAGCCTTAGAAAAATTAGAAGAGTTAAAATCAGAAACCTTAGCGAGATTACAAGCCATTCAGCAAGCAGTTAGAACCGGTTTAGAGGAAATAACTAACCCAACAAATTCGGCACCTCCCCCACCCAAACCCTCCACCGCTTATAATTCCCAAATTGTTCAGGCCGAAAGCCAAGTCAAAATTCAAGAAAAGAAATTAGCCAAACAAAAACAGACCGAGCAAGCCGCCCAACAAAAGGCTCAATCTCAGCCCACTAAGGCTAACCAACAAGCAGCAGCCGCAGCCCAACAAGAAACTAAACAGGCAGAAAAGGAATTAGAGCAAACCCAAGAGGAATTAAGTTCTCTAGAAAATAAGCAAGAATTTGAAGAAATGTTAGAAAAACAGGAGGAAGAGATTAGAGAAACAGAAAAAGAGGAAATCGAACAACAATGAGCCACAGTTCAAGCCTTATCTCAACAAGCCTTACAAGAAGAGCAAAAAGAAGATGAGAAACCGAAAGAAACTAAGGAAAAAGACTTAAATAAAAAACTGGAAGAACTAGTTCAACAATTACAAGAAATGGAACAATCGGCAGCTGCTTCCCAAAAAACCATGACTATGTTTATGCTCTTTTTGATTATCTTTTTACTGGAATATGTCGTTTATAAAAGAAACGGATTACCTGGTTTAGTTATTTTAAATGTTCTCTTAGCTGTCGCTTATTATCACCGGGATACTTTACAAGAATATAGCGAATTATGAAGTAAATATTTACTAATCATTGGTTATATAATGGGCAATGTTTTGGCTTACTCCGCCCCCGAACAGCAAAAATACAAGTGGCCGAGTGTGATTGGCTTTAATTTAATAATCTTTGGCATTTACGGTTATACTTTATATCAGCAAAAGCAAGAACAAGCCAAAATAGAAAACTTTTACCAACAAAAAACCCAAGAGATTTGTGAAGAAAGCAATATTACCAAAGAAGAGTGGAAAACTATTACCAGCTCAGCACCAAAAACTGGTTTCGGAGGTTATGTGGATGAATACAGTATTTTCTCTACTGCGGGAACAGAAATTAGGGTGGAACAAATAGCCAATTTAAAGCAAACCATCCAAACTAAGGAAGCAACCGAAAAAAAGGAAGCAAAAATTAAACAGCAAGCCGCAGTCTTAGCCCAAGCAACTGAAATCGAAGCCAAATTAAAAGAAGCCCAATCTAATTTAGGCACTTCCGGCATGACTTGGGGGAAAATTAAACAAAGATATCCCGAGTTTGCCAGTAAATCACGACTTTTAGCCGAGTTTGAAAAGGCTGACCGAATACTAACCGAAGGAGAAAGGGAAGAAAATAAATCCTTAACTACTAAATTAGAAAGAATAGCCGTTCCTTCGACCGAAGAACAGAAATTATTGACCCAATTATATCTAACTACTGAGCAATTTATTGTGATATCACAGCAAACCCCCTATTTAACTAGGGAAGAGAAGGAAGCCATAAACGATAATTATCTAACTCTTAACTCTGCCCAAAAATTCCAATTACTTAATTCGGGACTTAATAATTTAGGAATTAACACGGAGGAAAAGAAACAAGCCTTTGTTAATCTCAATCACACTCTTTATCAAGAAAAAGCCAACTTCGGCTTAACTGTTCCGGAAAAAGAAAATATTTTACGATTTTTAATGAAGACCTTAGATTTAACCACTGAACAAAAATCAGCCTTGGAAGACATGGGAATTAAACCTTATAATGCTAGTGAATGGCAAGTCAGTGCCGAACAAAGCAATCACTTATTAAAGTTTGGTTTAGAGAAAGTTAATTTAACCGAGGAACAAAAGCAAGAATTAGCCACAGTTCACCCTGATACTTTTCCAACTTTCCCTTTTACTGACCAACAAAAAAACATTTTAAAAAGTTTAGCCCCATTAACCCGAAAAGATAAGTATTCAGCCCCAACACTAGAATTATTAAACTCCTTATCTTTAAAAACTAATAATCTAATCTTTTTCACTAATGCGGAAATATTACCTAATCCTAACCTAGACTTTGGCGAAAACCCCGACCCTTATTTACCTTTAAAAACTAAATTTCTCAGTGGAGAACAGAAAATATTAAGGAAAACAGCTGAACAGAAAGAAAAGCAAATTTCTCAACAAGAACTCCAAGATAACAAGCAATCTATCTTAAATTCTTTATTAGACTTTGCCGAAACCTGAGAGGAAGAGGAAAAATTATCCACTCTCAACCTCTCCTTAGACAGCTGGGTTAAATTGAAGGCTCTGCAAGGCTGACAAAGAGATATCTTACTAACTTGTGGCTTAAAAACCATTCCCAAATACAATTATTTTGAATTACTAAAATTCTGTGTCGAAAATCTAACCAATCAATACCAATTCACCAAGCGAGAAACAACGGAAAAAGAACTAAACTGTATCGAAGAATACCAAACCCAAATCTTAACTATTTTGGATGCTTGAAAGGATAAGAGTTCCGGAGCCGAAAAAGAAACAGTAAGGAAAACAATTAAAACTCTATCGAATGATAATCTGCCCCAAACTCAGCAATATCAAGAATTAACCGAGTTATTAAGTAAATATCCCAACCCGAATATTAAACTGAATAATTTAGTGCAAGCTTGACAAGCAATTAACCACCAATTAACCGTTCCCATTGGTGCTTGGGAAAATTTCTTACAAGAAAATGATTGATTAATAGCAGATTACCAAGACTACTTAAATTCTTTAAAAAACCAACCCATTACCATCAATAAAATTATCTGAGCCAAATTTGTTAGTTCCAGCAGTAAAAAGGAGCAGGAGATACTGAATAATTTAGACTTAGAGGAATTAATAAATCAACAAATTGATAAGCGACTAAGCACTTATCAACCCACCGAAAATAAAGATTGACAA